GATAAACCCACGATACCTCTTATTTTTCGTATTTTTCAATTTTCTTCGACCGATTTATAAAAATACATTTGTGATATTTGATGCTTTTAATTATCGAAAAGGCAAAAGTGCATCGCAAACAATAAACGGGGTGTGTACACACAGCAATGTACTCTTTATGAGAGTAATCGTGGTTAGATTTAAAGCCGGCGACTTCAACCTTGAAGTCCAGAAGAAGTGTTCGAGTAGGCTCTTCACCAACCGCCAATCGTAGATATCGATCGAAGATAAGAATCTTCCTGGTCGTGTGTTGTTTGAAACAATGTTTCAAATCGCATTCATATCGGCGCGAATTTATCGAACGATAAATATTTACGAACGCAAGATAATAGACTTCTCTTAATTGCAATTCTTGAAACGCTCAATTATATTTCTTCGTGTTTTCGTACGATTCGATCCTATCCTATTCCCCATTCCAAAAACTTGTTTCGCGTATTTCCTCGAAATACAACCATGTATATTATTTATACATCCTCCTCCACTCTTTCTATACTTCCATAAACACAATTCTCTCCTAACACGTTTCTACTCAACTTTGCCTCTGTTCTATCTTCTTCGTGTTCCGACTCTCTGTGTTCACCAACGATGTTTCATCAAATTTTCCAACTCACCGGCGTACGCCGGCTTTAATTGATATCAGCGCCGTGCACGGCCATCACCCATCCCCTCCAACCAGATTTCCATGGACCGTTTCGTACAAATTAATGGGGGAACGCGTCGATATGCCGCAACGATTTATCCACGCTCGGCTCGGATTTAATGCGCGCTCCAATCCTCTCCGAGTCACAGAAAAATTTCGCTCGATTTCATTATCTCGACGCGGTGTTTTTTACGACGTTTAGCACGAATCGAAAATCGCGAAATTTCCCTCGCGTTATTTCTCTGTATGCCGAGAATTGATCGCGCGCGAAATTTCTCGATCGATGTTTCCGCCATTGAGAAACGAGGGTTATATGGGTCCGTGCATGCATCGTTCACGAAGGTGGCCGACGATGCATTCGTCCGTTCGCGAAAGAGATGAGAGATCGAGAGAGAGAGAGAGAGTACTTTTTCCTCTCCTCGAAGTGAGAAAAATTTGGACGATTCGGATGGATTGTTTCATAGGTATTGCCACGTGACAAGTGGTCGTCACGTAGTCGATCTGTGCCGTGTTCACAATTAGAAACGCAGCTTAACCGTGAAGCAGTTTCGGATTTTCAGCCAGGCTTCCGCACTGGATGATCGCATTAATTGCCACAGGATGCAACAGATTCTAATTTGCGTAACGAGATACGCGGGGATTAGAGTGTGTGATTAGAGGATTTTACGAAATTAGAAGAATTTTAATTGATTATTTTTTTTTTTTTATTATCGTCGCGATTCCTGTCGTATCGGTTGAGTATAGAAAAAAGAATAATGAATAAAGTATATTAGAAAAAGTGGATATTGATCCAAGGGAATTCACGTTCGCAACAAGAGATTCGTAATTAAACGTCTTGATTAGCAGCGTCTAGCTGAAAAGTTGGAACTCAAACGGATTCGAAGAAATGAAAAGACGGTCAGTTCCGTTCTGTTCGTCCTAGCTGTTTGCACCGATGAGGGGGAAAAAAAAAAAGAAAAAAGGAAAAAAAAAAAATCAAGGAATGTTTCATTCGTCGAGGGGGAAAAAAGTAGTACGAGGCGAATACCTTTGATAAGTTTCCAAGGAGATAACTATAAATGACAATGAGAATATGCATCTTGTTGCCCCCGACATTATTGCGATATTTTCTTAATTAAAAGTCAAATATAGTCCATCTCGTCATACTTTGCATTCTTTAAATCTCTTAATTATCGCTATTGGAATTGCTCCTTAGAGCATACTCTTTGACCATGAACAAACAAAACAGAATGTTGTTTCCTCTAATCTTTCTCTCTCTCTCTCTCTCTCAGACACAATGGGTTGCGTTAAATTCGGGAATAAAGGTCTCTGTCGATAAATCTGGAAGGAACGAACAAAGGAACGTTTCATAAAGGTTCTCGTGGCGAAGCATCAGTAAGGGTAGGATTACATCGATGCGTAATTTATGCTCGTGTCCTTCCTTTGGAGAAACCAACCTCCTTGTCCTTGACGGAAAAAGAAGCAAACGGGGGAATAGAAAACATTGGACGGGTAGATCGTCGGAAGAATTTGTGGTATTCACGGAGATGATCCGAGGGGTATTCATCAGGTTAAAAACTTGTTCGTGTGATCTTAAGTTTTCGTCAAAAGCCGAGAGAAGTCGAATAGAGAATTTCCAGAAAGTTTCTCGCTTTGAATCTTTAAGCCTCGATTTCCTCGATCATCCTCCTCCCCTCTCTTTCGCATGCCTTTTGCAAAATTATATTCGTTCAATAGGGTGTTCGATTGGTTGGACGAAAGGAAAATCGTGGCCATAACATATATATATATAGAGAGAGATATAAGAGAGAGAGAGAGAGAGAAGGAGAGAAAAAGTTGGCGAAACGAGAAAACTTTTTCCAGAGGGACCGTTGATTCAATCGAGCGGAAGCTTGTCTTTTCTCGAGCTATTAAGACGAGTAAAAGCGAAACGAAATTCCTCGCGAAAGAAACATAACGAAGCAGTGTTTTCCATTCGGATTTAAAATATTGAAATCGATATTCGAGAAACGTAATATCATATCGAGAGGCGTGACACTTGATTATTTGGACGGTCCGCTCTAAATATGGAGAAATGAAACGCGAAATGATCCCCGCGAAACACGATCTTTTCCACGAAATATTTTTAAATGGAAAGTGGTAATAAAAGAAGTTGATGTAAAAATTCGCGTAATTGAAATTTAGGAAGGGCGAGGGTGCGCGCATTCGTAGAATTCCTCTCGTGGAATTCAATTGCAGTTTTTATAACAAGCCTTTATATCCATTCTCAATTACGTATTCATCAGCAAAGCGCCATGGATTTCGGAAAAGGGGGATTATTTGTGGAGGAAGCAAGGGCTCCATCTGTCCTTATTAAATCCTTCATACATGAGATGTTTTAAACTTTTACGTATATAAGAGTAGGAGAGAAAGAGTATTGGAACGATTCTGGCGAGTTATTCGCCATTTCGAAGAGCGATAGCTGTTGATCGACTCCCCTTCGTACGAGACATCTTTACGAGCCTTGTTTAAAAACGTATCCATCCAGTTTTTCCATCTTCTCCGTGACATACTTTCTCGTTCGCGCGAGAAAAAATGAAAATTCAATTTTTCCAACGTTAACAAGTTGCGCAGGAAACGTATTATTATTCCAAGTTCGGCTGTTGAAAACGAGCATTCCTAACGAGCGATTATTCCAACGTTTCAAGCTGATACTACAACGAGCGTTAATTAGAAACTGTTTACGCGTCGCGGTTAAGAGGCTGGATTTGTCGCTGACATAATATTCCGAAATTCGCAAAGGAAACAGTAGAGCGCCTCTTCCGCAAACTCTGAGAAGTTTAAACTCTCTTTATCCGCCCGTACACGTTGTTCCATTCTTATCCTTCGACGACAGATACGACATTTCGATGGTAATGCTATTATATAATTCAGGCTGGAAACGTTTTTCGATCATCAGATAAATAATTCACACTTCATACTCTTCTATCAAAAGAACTTTAATCAATTAATTGTCGTATTCGAAAAAAGGTATCGTCGTTCTATTTATGGAATTAAAGCGTATGCAATATTTCTATTCCAATTTGTATCTCTGATCGAAGAGGAAATAATCACGATTTTATTTTTGCTCCGCTTTGAAGATTCGATGAATACGAAAGAAAGGGGGAGGATCGTTTCGAGTTCATCGAAGAGAAATCGTATAAAAAAAAGGAGGATGATTTTCTTGATTACAAAGGTTTAACGAAATCCATAAATGGGATGACTTATCGCCGTTTGTCAGCATCTCTCTCAGCGAACGTGATTTATCTGTCGGATTTAGACGAGATACATACGATATCGCGTACTTAATCTCGTCTTACTTCTGATCGATGTAATGCCATTATTACATCGATCGACCCGCTCCTCGCCTATTTTATTTTTCGAATAAAAAAATTTCCTCGTGTAAAAGAAAGAAAGGGGAAAAAAAGAAAAAAAAACGTGTCCACAGATTTTACATTAGTAATCCCTTTAACTTCTCCGCGTTCGTTTCCATCGATTTTCGAAGCTTCGAACGTTTGTTTGTTGTATAATATTTCGCCCAGCGTCCAAAGAGTGTCTCGATGGAAAAAAAGTGATCGATGGATCGAGCGCGCCACCTTTGATCGTACCCCTTCTCTTCAGACAACGTGTCTTTCGAAGAAGAACGAACGATTTAACGATTATATTTTTACGGTTTGACGCATCGTCGAACCCTTATTTTTACTCGGATTTTTTTTTTTTTTTGAACAGAGGGTTACAAAAAAGTCGATAAAATTGTCAGAAATATCGCGCCTCCCTCAACAACATTGGGGGGGAAAATAATCGAGGGGAAATAAAAAAAAAAACGAAGGGTCATTCAATTTAAAAACATTTCCACTGTTCGAAACGACAAAGGTTGGCTTCGCATTCCCACCGGATCGAACCCGGTTGGGAACGGCCATTTCGGTTTCGTCGTCGAGCTGGCTCTCGATCCAATTTTTCCTCGTCCTCGAATATATATATATATATATATTTTTTTTACAGTTTCGGCCGTTTCGTGAGAAGGAACGCGATCGAGGATCGTGGCTAATAATGGCAGGCGCGATAAATCGATTCCTCCGGGGAGAGCTGTGTTGAAACTGTTATCATTTGTTCACAGGTAGAAAAGACGAGGAAGGAGGCCGAAGAAAAGTTACAACATCGAAGTGGTCGATCGTAAAGAATCCATAAATCCGTAGAGGATGTTGGAAAATGTTGCTGTTCTCGGCGAAAAAAACACTCCATCGTGATCGCGTTTCCTAATTAGATTCGAGAAGATTTCAGAACGGCCGATTTCTCTGCTGCCCGATTCTCTCCCCGATTTCCGTGTAGATGGGACGAGCTTTTCGTTCCAAGGTGAAACGGGAATTCGTGGATGGTAATTATGCGGAACAGAAGACAAAGTGGGGTGTCGCGAGTGAATAGGCGAGTGACGAGGCGTTGCTCTTTCGTGGACAAGGTGCCCTAGTTCCTAGATATGACTCGGTGAGTTTGGGATCGAAACGGGGACGTTGGATGCACACCGATCCCTGCCTACACACAATTTGCCCACCGATATGGAGGGGGAGCTGATCACCTCCTGGGCCGGCAACCTGACCGCGATGTTGCACCACCTGCCCTGCAACGACAGCTTGCTCGGATGCGTGGACGAGTGTGGACTCGGCTCGTCGGGATTCGATCACGTGTGCACGGTCGAGAAAGGAAGCTACATGTCCTCGATGACCCTGCTCTGCAGACCCTGCGACTATTCCAACTGCGACGTGAACGTGTCCTTGGTCCTGAGCGGACTGGAGAGCGTAGAGGGCGTCTTCTTGTCGAGGTTGCCGAGGTTCAAGGAGTGCAACGAGACCGATTTTCGCGACCAGGTGAATCATCTAAGATTCAGAGTGATCGCGTCCGATATTTATTATCTTACTTTCTCGTTATCCACAGATTTTGGAGTGCACGGCTACGTCGGAGAACGCGACGGCGGAAGACCTGACCGTCTCTTGTTCGCACAGGGCGAAGTTAAGCGGAAGCAGAGGCCGCCGTCTCGACTGGAACTTTCTCTTCGTGGCTGTGTTCATCGTGGCGGGCGGCCTGGGGAACATACTGGTCTGCCTTGCTGTGGGGCTCGATAAAAGGCTGCACAACGTCACCAATTACTTCCTTTTGTCTCTCGCGGTGGCCGATCTGCTCGTCAGCCTGTTCGTGATGCCTCTGGGCGCGATCCCAGGCTTCTTGGGTGAGTGTTTACGTACGTGAAACGGGACATCGTACTGAATTTCTCTGCAGCGGATTCGTTTTGGAACGAATATTTTGGAACAAATGTCCGTAACTTTTATCGTTCAACGCGTGACGTTCGAATCACGATGTTGCCACTTATCGTTATCCACGTATTTTAACGCGATGAAATTTGAATTCGAACAAGCGTTTGATCTGCATTTCCTCTTGGAATAGCCAAGAGGATGTTCGCCACGCTTTTCATTCCCAGCATCGTACACGATTTCACTATTTCTGCCCCCCCCCCCCTCTCTCTTTCTGTCTCCGTCTGTCTTGGTAATCGAATTCGAATAACGGGGACGATGCCGGTGGTCTGGAACAACGCCAATGCAACGAATACAAAGAGAACGCGACCAGTCGATTAAATCGAACTAATTAGAGACTTGGCAAAGTTTTGCGACAATCTACCGATCCATTAGACACGAAATTTCTCCGCGTTCTTCGATTACACGAGCGGAACGCTGTCTCGAATCGATAGCGAACTATTCGCTGGAATCACGTTTCTCTCGCGTCTCGAAACGATAAGCTGACAGAAAGAAAGGAAACGATGTAAGAACATTTTTATTAAGCGTGGATTGTTCTTCGAACTTTTCGCGAAAATTTGAGAAAAGTCTCTCGAAGATTTCCTCGAGAAGGGTTAAACGACCAGTTCAAAAAATTCTAATCTTCGAATTCTTCTCCCAAGTTTCCACGATTCAATTCGAGAACTTTAAATACGTTATCTGGAAAATAGCGTTACTCCAATATTCGTGAAACGATAGACAAGTTTGAATATATATATATATATATGATATATCAACGAACTGTGACAACTCGAATCGTCCTTCTCCTTTTTCGTTTTATCGTATTCCGCCATATTCCTCGAATCTCTCTGATCATTTTCGAGGATTATTTTCTTCGCTCGCCCGAATGTGTCGAGCGTGGCGCTCTCGACGAAACGAAATAAAATCGACGCGATAAAGAATTCAAACGTTGGGGCAAAAAAAAAAAAAGAAAAGAAAAGAAAAGTTGAAGAAGTTGGCGAGTGTTGAACGCGATTGCGCCTGGTGTGAGAACGAGACAAACTCGGAGAAGATTGTTCATCTTGAGGCGTTGCAAAACCCAGGATGCTTTTTAACAGGATTTTCCACGCTACTCGAAACTTTTTCGTGTTACGAGAAAGAAAAAAAGAAAGAAAGAAAGAAAGAAGTTTCGGCAGGAGAGGGATGGAAAAATTAAAAACCGATAACTTCAACTGCCGGGATGGGAGAAATCGATTGACAAAGATTAACAAGACACTCAACTTGAACTCACTTTTGCCATTTTCCTTCATATTTTTCCTTTCCCTTTTGTACATGCCGAATATCCCCTCCCCCCGAATTTATCTTTCTCAACAATCGTGTACTCGCGCGATTCTCTTTCTTCTTCTTCTCTGGAATATCTTCGTACCAGCTCGTCTATTCATTCGGCGCAAATCGTTCAAATTCAAATCTTTTCAAACTGCTGACAAACGATTCCCCCGTGAAACGAGCATCCAAACGATAATAAAGAGAAGAGAGAGAGAAAAAAGAAGAATTCGATTCTCCAGATATCGAAATCTTTTCAGCGTCCAGCTTCGATCCAATCTCCATCTTGCGTCAAACCTCGGAGAAAAAAAAGAAGAAAAAAAAAATGATCCCTCTTAACGAATGGAATCGGATGAAATTGAACAAAGGACGGTTTAGAAGAAACTTAAACGTGTCATCCTGAAAGAATGTTCTTCTTTCGCCTCTTCTTTTCCGTCCTCCAAACCTTTAACCACCATTGTGTTCTCTCAGGAAAACTTCACTCTCCTCGAGGAACGAACTGGCGCGTCACGGTGCGCTGCCTCCTCGAGACTCTGCATTCTCTCAGATTACGTTTGCAACACGAGCCACGCGGAAACGGGAGAGATATTCGCGACACGATTCAGCGTGATCAAGATTCGCGCCGATAGCTCCAAGTCGAAACGATTATTCAAATATCAAATGCGCGCGACTCCCGTAATTATCCAAAGTTTGCCCGATTCGTGAAATAATTCGCGCGAAAGTTTCGAGACATCCGAGGGGAAGGGAAGATTTATCGGGGAGGGGAAGGTCGCGTGCAAGATAGTTTGCGAGCAGAAAGGTGAAATTTACTTAGCGGAGGAAGAGCGAGATATCGTGTCGTGTTATACGTCTCCCTGGAAGGTTGCACTACGTGTACAGACTTGAGAAACGACGAAAACTTGGGCAAAAGCTTGGGCAAGATGCGCGATAAACGGTGGAATGAATAGGATGCACGCCAAGCCTATCCTCCCATCATCGAAGCCTCTTTCTTCGAACGAAAGGAAAAGCGAACGAACGAAATCATCCATTTTATCATCCAAGGAGAAAATTTGATCCATTTACTCGGCTCCAGTAAGGTTCCTTTGAACGGGGAGAGAGAGAATCGCGAGTGTAGCAAGGCTCGAACATTATCGTCCAGCATCTGATTGAACGTGTCGATGCGCCATAAAGTTTTCCAGTTGGCTGGTAACGAAACTATACTCGATGGACGGAACAACCGAGGATGAACGTTGCCTGAAAATTCGAATCACGAGATCACCGTGGCGCCGAGTAAAATGGCAATTAACGGCCGTTCCTGTATTCCGTGACCGACAACGGAAGAAACGAGATTAAACGTGGCGAGACCAAACCATTTTTCACCACCTCCTCGCCCGGCGGAAAATATGAAACGTGGGTATATTCAAACGTGCCTTCGATTCGATTCTTGGGAAATTAGAGCGTCAACTGCATTCCGTGCATTGAGTATAACTCGCAGACACCGAGTAACTGGAAAGTGGATAAGGTGTCGCGAAAATTTGTATTCTCCGATTTTGTTCGAATTCCTATTTGACCGGCGAGACATCTAGACATCGATCCTTATCCGTGTTCGATCCACGGTTTCGGCAGACAAAAGAGCTATTGACGCACGAAATTTAGCCTGTTCCCGAGAAACTGTTGACGGGAACTTGATAAATGGATTTGTGGGGAGGAAAGGGGGGTAAGCGATTTTGGTCGATGGAAATGGCCAAAACGAAGCCAGCAATTGAGATATATTTCGTTTTTATATAAGCGGATGGTCGGCAATATCTTTTTTCCCGCGTTTGTTAAAAATGGAAATTCGCGATAAAAGCCAATGATCCGTCTGGGTTATTCCCGTCGTTCCCGAATCGATCATTAAATTTCTCTAGGATAGCATCTTCTTACCCGATTGTTTCACAGGGAAAATTCGTTCGATCGAGTGAGATAATGAATTTTTCTTTACTAAAAAAAAAAAAGATATTTTGACCTCTGTGTATTCCAATATACGTGGATATACGTGGAAATGTTATGTTACATTTCGATCATTTCTCATCGTGTTCAACTAGTTGGTTCGTAAACGGTAATTGGCACGAGTTTTCGTCGTGTAGCATCATCGGTTTAGAACAAGTTTTAAATTAATAAACCTAGACGTATTTAATAGTCCGCATTGAAACAACGAGAAACTGTTTGCTGGTTATTACCGCACGTTTCTAAAAAGTGTCCAACAAATATCAATTCTAGGAACATTTTGTCGGAACATTCGAGTTTCTCTCTCTCTCTCTCT